CTTTTTGGGGCCCCCCCAAATAAAGGGTTTCAACCCGAAAGCGGTTGCCCGGTCTGGCAGAGTGCCGCTCCTTCCTCCAAGTTGGTCGGGGGCGGCCCCCCTTTTTCCCCGCGCGGGAACCTGCCCGGAGGGCAAATACGCCGAGCTCGAGAAGTCGGGCGCCAAGCAGAAGACCGACTCCAAGGTGGTCCTCGTCACCGGGGTCACCAACATCAACGCCGGGCTCCTCACGCTCACGTACGGCTTCTGCTTCGGCGTCGAGCTCACGATGAACAACGTGGCCGCCGGATTCTTCTACAACTACCAGGGCGTCACCCCGCAGCTCGCCGGCATCGCCGCCTCCATGTTCGGCCTCATGAATATCTTCGCGCGGTGCGCGCCCCCCACCCCCCCCGCCGCGAGCCTTCTTGCTAAAGCCCCGCCGCCCCCACAGGTCGCTCGGCGGCCTCCTTTCCGACTTCTGCAACGCCCGCTTCGGCATGCGCGGCCGCCTCTGGTCGTGCTGGATCATCCAGACCATCGAGGGCGTCATGTGCTGCATCCTCGGCTCCGTCACCGCCGACATGTCCGCCCCGTACCCGTCGACCGGACCCAAGTACCCCGCCTTCGTGGAGATTCCCAAGGACGAGTGGCGCGTCGCCCTCAACACCTCGTGGGGCTGGACCCCGCTCGTTGGCAACGGGTGAACCCACCCCCACCCCCCACCCACACACGGGTAGGCCGCCGAGACCCCCCCCCCCCCCTCCCGCAGCTGCAACGTCCTCGACGACGACGGCAAGCCGTTCAAGGTGCTGGCGTGCGGCACCAAGTCGATCAAGACGACCGACGCCATGAAGGACTGCCTCGGCATCCAGGACAAGCTCATTCTGATCCAGGACCCGCCGCTCGGCCACATGATGATCGACGGAGAGTGGACCCAGATCGGCCACCACGACGACTGCATCTCGCACAGCGGAACCTTTGGCATCGCCGTCATCATCGTCATCATCTTCTCCGTCTTCGTGCAGATGGCGGAGGGCCTCGACTTCGGCATCGTGCCCTACGTCTAAGCAGTCCTTTTCGATAA